TCATCATCGTCATCTAAATTGTCTTCCACAACCAGCAAAAGAACTTGCAAGAGTATTGAGAAACTTTCAGTGAAGGGTCACCGAGACTTCATTCTGGAATATTGTTGGAACACCACTTTGGTGCTGCTATTTTTGACTCACTGGTCTAGCTTTACCTACTGACAGATTTTGGTCAGATGTATTTTAGCTAAAGAGAAGCTGTTCATCATATCACGGCCGGTATCAGCAAGATTTGCTAATATTGTTACAGTCTTTCCTCTGAGGCACTATGCTAAGAATGTAGTACAGCTGAACCTGTAATGTACAAATGCCTTCAACTCTGAATCTATTGCAGGAAGGTTTTTTCTGGTCACGGTAGCATGCAAATGCTACTACAGAAAAGTCAAAGAGACTCCATAGGCAAAAGTGCTGCCAGGGCAAGGAGATGGAAACCATTCAGTGGTGCGTGTTCTGCTAGGTGGTTTCAGGCTTGGGACACCAGTGATGTATTCTTGCTGAAAAGGATTGCTGTTTTGGGGCCCTGTGATTTTTCTTCAAAAGAGATTTCAGGGATTGAAATAGCACTCTGAATTCTGTTGCAAATTAAATGGGAAAGAGATGTACTTGCTAAGCACAGGTACACTGTACCTGGCTGTACTAACTCAGCCAGTCTTTTCATCTTAGTCCAGCTCTCTAACCCAAAGTTAAACAAGTTACTGGTTTTCAGTATGTGAACTCCTATCTTTTCCGGTGGAGATATGCGTCTTAGTTTAGTAACTTTAAGCCTATTGGCAAGATGCTTGCCTTGTTGTTGCCTTCTGTAAGTCTTTTAAAAGTTTCACTGTGCCTTTCCCCAGGGGTCTGCAGGCCACAGATTGGAAGCCACTGTGCTAAGCTAATATGAAGGCAAATGAAATATAGGTCACAGCAGGCAGGCTCTTACCTGAAAGGAGACGGGATAAGTCCCTGGCAAGCTGGAGATGGAGACAGCATTACTGTTGCGAGCCACAGGCTCTTTTGACTCCATTCTGAGCCTAAGGATTTGCAGTACTGTCACAGTCTGGTGCCTCTATCACTGGTAGTCTACTTCTTTATTAGCAAGGATGAAATTTGTATTCGTCATCATAAAAAGTTTGTTGGTTTTTTTTCCCATATAAAAAGGACTAAAAACAAAAGAGACCACTTTTATTGATGTCTGCAGAGCCTGAGACAGCAGCTCCAAGAAGAGATATGAACTGTCTCAGTTTGTTCCCATCTTACACCTTATGGCAGATCCTAGGAAGAGTAGCCCACGGATGGATGGAGGAATCAGAGGTTGTCCTAGATAGGGTCCTTGACACAGACCTAACCTAGAGAAGGCTCATTTATAGAAAAAGCAGAGGAAGCCTTCCTTAGTAAGCCTTCAAACTGTATAATCAATTCAGAGTCAATCAAGGCAGATATTAAAAGGCATGTACCGTATCTTATCTTTGGATCTTTACTCACAAGGCAGACCAAACTAATACTGTTTACTAGGAATATCTACTGGCGCCCTTCCAGATTGTCATTCAAGTCATTCTGAATGGCCTCCATAAAGACAGCTCGTCTTCACCGCTGCATTCTTTATATTGAGTCCAACCTAGCAATGGGAGGAAGTTGCCTTCCTTTTTCCTAAACTTGCAGTGTTCTGAGGTTATTGAGATAGCACTTTTGCTTTGGGGTTTTCATTCACTTAACACTTAATTGCTGTGTTGGAATTATTTTGCTCTGTATTACACCACCAGTCCAAGACTTTGAAGAATAAATCTGTGGAACTAAGTGCCTGTGTTAGTATATGGGTTCCTGAGAAGTACAGAACACTCTTTTGTTCTCAAATCCAATGGCTACATCCTTAGACTTCTTAGAAAGTCAAGTTGCTAATTTATGGTCCTCGCCTGAATGCACTGGCTTTTGTTTTCTTAGTAACTTTTCAAGAATTCTAAAAGGTTTTAAAAGTTTAAAGACTAGTTTACAGACAGTTTAAACTTAAACTTAAAAAAGAATTTAATTTAAAAGAGTTTAAAAGGAGTTTTAAAGATGTTTTAAAGAATTAAAGAGTTTAAGAACTCTTTAGCTTGCTTGGAGCAGGGAATTGGACTAGATGACATTCAAGGTCAGGTTGGACAGGGCTCTGAGCAACCTGATCTAGTTAAAGCTGTCCCTGCTCACTGCAGGGGGGTTGGGCTAGTTGATCTCTAAAGGTCCCTTCCAACCCAAAGCATTCCATGATTCTATGATCTCCAAGGGTCCTTTCTAACCTAAGTCTTTCTATGATTCTGAATCTCATGAGAAAGTTTTCTGTAGCATCATAAAATCACAGTTCACTCACTGCTAAAATGAGGAAGTCTGACTCCCACTGACCCCCACTTCTCCTAGAAAAATGTTTCCCAGCCTGTGGCGAAACTGATGACTGGAGTAAGGATATGGTTCTGGAATGAAATGAGTAGAAAGTTATATTATCAAAGGAGGTGGATTCAATATCATTGGCAGACAAACTGGAGAGCCAAGTAATTCATATTGATTGAGCCAGACTTTACCACACATGTTCATTAAGAACATTACATTAAAAATCTGTGGCATACATTTTGATTTTGCAGCAGAGTCTTTGAGGATGTGAGACAGTTGCCTAGCAACTTCTGGACTCATCACCCTTTCATTAAGTGTTGTATGTAACAGTTTTCCTCTACTACTTTAAATTTAAAAGCTTCACTGAATAATGAAAAGAAGTCACAAGCATATTTAACAATAGTTCTCTATTGTTAGCATAAATAATATCCTCATTTTACTTCCTTTACCCATCAGCAGTAGAGTCTAGAAAAACCAAGTCTGACTCCCTTGTTTTTTCTTCGCAGCACTCTGCATATGAAACTGTGCAATAGTCACTGCTAAGCATCTTTGCCCTGAAGAGCTCAGTCTGGAAGAAGCTGGGCTGAGATGAGCTAAGAAGTATAGGAGTTAGCAGTTCAATTTTTTCCAGCAGTAGAGTTTAAAGGAAATTTTTCTGCTAGACTTGTCACTATTGAAAATGAAATTTTGGTCCTGTATCACTTAAGTTTTGAAAATGGTATATTCAGGACATACATCACAACAGCTCATGTCTTTTGGTGAGACATGTCTGTGGCATTGCCTTAGGATAAACTGCTAATGGAAACTTTTCTAACTCTGAGCCTTCAAATGCAATTATGCATTTCCCATCAGCTTGGTGGAGGCAGACACTGATGGAAAAATGCTTCTAAAAGCCAGTCCTAACATTGGCAGTTTCTTGTGGAAGCTACCTTGCTCTTATTCTCCTTTCTAATTTCTTTTCTTCCATTTTAATATACTTTAGGATGTGCTGTAAATTCAGTAGCATTTTCCAGAAGCTTTTCAATGAAATAGTGCAAGGGGCAATTAAGTGATTGCCCCTTCTAGCTGACCAATTGAGACTGATCAGTGTGTTTCTCTCTCTTGCTAGCCTAACTCCTTTGACCTCCAGTACGTGAAATAAGTGTAAGCCCTGTGTGGTGCAGGTATATGCCAGCTGGATCATACTAAGAGGGTGGGGTAACACTGGAGATTAATTACATGGAGAAAAAGGAAACAAGAAGGGACACATAGATACCATCCGCAGAACTTCCTGGGAGGAGACTGCTAGTGTGCACTTAGGCAAATTGCTGAAATCAGCCAGATACGAGCTTGTGCTATCAGCAGGGCTTGCTAGCGTGGAGAAAGCACTCTGATAGTTTTCAGTGGTGCTGCATAGGAGGTATGCTCTAAGTCGTGCCATAAAAGCAGAGCCTCCTTTGGCACTCTGTGGGTCCATATCTTATATTCCACTAGCAGAGTGACCTGGTCTGTGGGATCAGAAGCTAGGAAAGAGGCTGCAGGGTTGTGCTGTGAGGACAGGAGGTGGTGGTGCTGGAGAAATGTGTGAGTCTCATGCTCAGTCCATGAGACTTGACAAGCCTAGAGTAATATGGAGACTGAGACCTTGTTTAAATTGCATCTTAACCTGGGGTGTGATTTAAAACCAAGATGCTTAAACTTGTGCCAATACCTATGTGGGCACTTGTTTCAATTTAATTTGATTAAACATTTAAAGCATAATGAAAAAGGCAGTCTTAGCATGGGTGGAAAAAGGATCTAAGTTACTTTCCCTGTGGACAAAACCTTGCTTTCCAAGTTTTCAATTCTCATGTGTGACTTACTCACAAGTGATTATTCTCTGCATTTTGTATCTGACCTGTGGTGAGGAAACAAAACTAGAACCACATAAAGTTCAGGAAAAGTGTATGTTAAAATACGTATCAAACCCTATTTGATTCATACAATCATTGAGATCATATAACCAGCTAGGCCCATGTCCTCCTCTCAGGCATTATTTGCCTGGGGAAGAAACAGAACCTAGTATGAAGTCAGGAAAATCAACTGAGTTTTAATAGTTAAATTGGGGTTTGCAAAATATCACACTTCAAGAAGCATGAAATCCAAATTAATGCGTACTTGCTCTGGTACAGTCCTTCTGCAACTGACCTTCCCATTGTGTCAGGACATCTCTTCTCTTAGCCCAAAGTGCTGTGCATTATTTTCAGGGGCAGATAATAGTCCTGATCTGGTATGTCCTACTTTGAATGTAAATGGTGTCAGAGAAAAGTGGCCAATACATGGGAGCAGTGGGTCTTTTTCTCACTTTAAGATAAGACAGTGTATGAAAGAAATAGATTGGAACCAAGACAGGATGAAGGGGATGTGCAAGGGTCTGTGCACTGTTGTTCCCTTCAATGTCATAAGCCAGATCCTAATTACAGTATCCTCTTTGCTCCCTATGTAAAGAGTTTAGGCAGACATGGGGCTCTAGACCAGGTGCAGCTTTTGCTCAGTGTAAGAGACCTCTTAGCTAGCCAGGCTTTGAGCCCTGAATGTTATATGGGAATGGATCTTTTAGGCTAGATTTTGTCATACTTGAAGCGAAACTTGTTTCTCACATCTCTCTAATAATGTGTTTTCTTCTTCCCTGTGAGCAGTGGAGTGAAGTGCAGCAGATGATAAACGGTACCCCAGTTTATATGTACCAGGACTGCAGTGTGCTTTCCGAGGGTGACACTGATCACTGGCTTCGCACCAACTGGATTTATCGGGGTGAGGCAGCCTCCCGCATTTATGTGGAGCTAAAGTTTACTGTGAGGGACTGCAAGAGCTTCAAAGGTGAAGTGGTGACCTGCAAAGAGACCTTCAATCTCTATTACATGGAATCTGAACAAGATGTCGGGATCCAGTTCCGTCGCCCGCTGTTCATCAAGGTCTGTAGCGCTGGGGGTGAGGACTGAGTCATCTTTCAGCTTGAACTAGGTGTGTCTTGCTGGCTGGGGGAGGCCAGGAGAACCAGCATCTGGGGAGGGGCATGGATAGTAAGCTTGTCCTTAGAATAAACTTTGCCCCCAGTGCCCTCTGTAATGCTTAGAGCAGCCTTTGCCACAGGAGACACAGGAGTTTTCAAATGAGATCAGCCCTTCATTCTGCATAAGCAGGTATTTAACTGGACACCACATAGGTAAGGATTCTAAAGGGTTATAACAGTGCTAGATGGCTACACCAATTTTTAGAAATAGTAAAGCAGAGGCCAAAGGAATTTGACTTGCCTTAGGTAACAAAGCAAGATTAGACCAAGTGAAGAACAGAATCTAGTTAAGGTCTCTGTGGTCCTGATAATTTACTCTGATTGTTATGAAATATAGGGTCTTTCTTTTCTAAAACTGGAGATGATGGCTTGCTATAATGAAATTCTCCCTTGCGTATTTAGCACCGCTGTATTTTAACTACTGTTTTCCCCAACATAGTGCCCTCTTGCCATGGAAACATTTGAATTGCAGAACAGGGAACCTTGGATTTTTTATAAAGGAACTTCTGTAACCCAGTTCTGTCCTAAAAGAAGGCACAGATCTAAAATACTTGACTGCCCTTTCCTCTGCAGTTTAAATGGCATATGATGAAAACAACGGTAAAGGCCACCACAGGCCGAGCAGGACTCTGGTAACGGATCCCCCTTCCTCCCCGGTGCTCCTCCACCTCCCCTGCAGCTGGGACCTACCAGGTGAATTTGTGCGATACCTCCACAACTCCTAAAGCTGCCTTAGGATCCCACTGCCAGATGCAGCTGCTGTGGAGATCCTTTCATCTGCCATCCAGCTCCACAGAGTGGGTGGTGTCACGTAATGGGGAGGGGCCTGCGGTGGAGAGGATCAGTTATCAGGCTCCCTCTCTGAGAAGAAAGGCCACCCCATCTGCAGTCCAGCTCTTCCATATCACATGATGTCATTGGAGGCCTTTTCCATTTGCCCAAGCATTGAAAGCATCTTTCTCATTCTTTGTTTGCTGAGGCAGTGAGAATGTGAGAGCGTGGGGGCATTTTTCACCCAAGTATCTACAGTGCTGAAATATGTTGAGTGCTGCATGAGAAGCACCTTGCAGTAGATGATCTGATCTGCAAGTACAGCCTAGAAACAGGTGGCTGTAATTCAGTGGTCAATTTAAAAACACAAATCTAAGCGCTGTTGTGATTTTACTGCATACAATTTGCAAACAAAGAAGAATAGCACAGGAGAGAGATTTGCTCCTTTAGGGGCAGTTCTTAAAGACCTCTGAGATCAGAGACCCAGAACACAGTGTACTATATAAGACCAGTGAAGGACTGCCAAGGACTTGAAAGGAAGTGCTGGAAAGTATGGAGGCAAGAAAGGATGCAGATGCTGTTGTTAACACTTCCTCCACATGCAAAGGAAGTATGCAGTGCACTGGCATTAGAAACAGTTGCCCATACAGCCTCTGAAAGGCCTTAGTGTAAAAGAAGTTTGAGAGGCACGGGTATCTCAGCTGCTGCTGCTGCCTGCTCAGGTGTTAACACTGTTGTCTTTTTCACTTAGCTCAACACTGTGGCAGCAGATCGAAGTTTCACAAGCAGAGACATTGAATCGGGTGCTATGCAGCTGAACACAGAAGTATGCCCCATTGGAAAGCTGTCTCGACGGGGCTTCTACTTGGCTTTCCAGAACTCGGGGGCTTGCGTAGCGATGGTGTCTGTCCGAGTGTATTACAAGACTTGCCCGGAGGCAGTGCGGGGCCTGGCCCGTTTTCCAGAGACGCTAGCAGGTTCAGAGGGGCTGACAGAAGTGCCAGGGGTCTGCGTGGAGTATGCATCTGAAGAAGTTGGCTCTCCCCCCAGGATGCACTGCAGCACTGACGGGGAGTGGCTGGTACCAATGGGCCGATGCCTTTGTGCTGTGGGGTTTGAGGAAGTCGATGGGAGCTGCGTAGGTGAGTATGCAAGACAGACACTGGCTGTAGGCCATGGGAGAGGTTCCAGGGAGCTAGAGATCAGAGCATCTGTAAGCATAAAGTGGGATTAGGGGAGTTAGTGTGGTCTACTTCTCTCTTGCCTGCCCTCTGTGCCTGCCAGGTGTATCTTACACCTTTCCTCCCCTCCTTAGCTTCTCTTTTTCAATTGTGATTTTTCTCCTTATGTGTCAGGTGTAAGACTTGCACACACCTCTCCACTCCCTCTTGGGCTTCATCCAGGAACCTTCAGCTCTGGAGCTAGTTTCTGCGAGCTGTAACTGTGTGATTGACACTGACTCACTCAACAACTGGTTCCCAGCCCTTAAATGGCAGCCTTGTTCTCTCAGGGCAGACGGGTCAGACGCATGGAACAGTGTATTTGTCCAATGACTAGAAAGCTGAGAGTCAGAGGGGGTCACGATTCTCCTCTGTGTCCCCTTCTGCTTGGACTGGGATGGCTCTTCTGCCATGGGAAACCACGTTAAAGCACATTGCACAATATGTTGGTGCCCGGCTCATTTCTGAGGAAGAGCAATTAGCAGGCATAGGAGTCACTGGGGGACTGGAGCACAGAGCGAGCCAGGGTTCTTGGAGCAAGCAGCACAGGGCTCTCCCTTTGCCACAGAAGGGACAAGACCCAGCTTCTTAGGGTGACTTTGTGTGTTCGTCAGGGGAAAGGATACGTGTGGTGTTTTGGGGGATATGGATTACTGCAGGGAGAGAGGTAAAAGACAGCACATCTCTGCTCTTGTCGTCAGAGCCATATGGCATAAGGCTAAGTTATATAGAAAAAGGAATCCATGCACTGTTGTCAGGGTCAGCAGATGCCTTGTCTCTCTGCTTTGTTCTGCCTTTGCTCTGCTACAAGGATCTGGTGCCTCCATGAATCTCCACTGCTTGCTGCTCATTTCATTTGGGGAGCTGGTAAAGGTTGAAGTGCAAGATACTTTCCCTTCTCCAGCAATCCCCTCTCATTGCATAGCTCAGCCAGTTTTTCCACTTACATGCTACAGAGCTCTCCCCGCCCTCCTGAGAGCACTCCCCTGGGAAGGGGCAGGGAAGCTGTCATGTCTGGACAAGCCCTGACTGCTATCACAGCACAGGTTCATTCTACATCTGTGCTTTTATCCCACTCCGCCCAAGTACAGCTGCAGCCAGAAGGGTCTTTTGTAGGATCAGTAGGGACTGGGGATGTCTCCCAGGAGAGGAAGGGAAGAGGGGAGAACCTAGCAGGGGTAGAGAGAGGTACTTCATATTAAGAGCAGTGTCTTACTGGAGGATCAGAGGAAAAGGTGAATGTAGATTGCCTGCTGGGGCATATCTTGGGATCCTCTCCCTCAACAGAAAAGACCAGGCACTGTGCAAAGCACTGGGAGCAATCCAGTTCAGGATAGGGACTGAGGTCACAGGTTCTACTTTGTCCTCAGAAGATGAAGGGCTTCTCCTTCAAACATGTAAAGAGGGAGGAAGACCTGGCAGGTTCTGAGTTTTGCCTTAAGTAGGAACCACAAAAAAAGCAAAGCTGAACTACGTCCCTTGCCTCATAACAGGGAGGGGAGCCTGACCTGTTGCAGGACAGGAGGCAACAGAAAGCCAGAGGTTGAGGTTCTGAACTAGTTCACTCAACCTCTCTGTGCATTCCCAGCCATATAAAGCTCTGCTGGGTACATAATGGCTCAGCCATCCCATTATCCCAGAAAAACCATGCCTGCCCAGAGGATGACATCTCAGCCTCTCATAGCATTGCAGGCTTTGCTGCCTATTATAAACCCAGAGCTCCATGATTAACTTTGTCACTGTGAGGAACCTTCCTGACCGTGAACACAAAGCCTGGCTGTGCCCCTGGCCTGTGTTCTGGTTCCTTGATGGGCTCTGCGGGGTGGCAGGCGAGCTGAGCTCCCTGTCAGCTCAGGTCTGGCGTCTGCAGGCTGCCCAGTGCTTGCTGGCAGTCTCCCGATGAGCACCTGTAGGAATAAGGAGTAAAGGGAGG